CTCCAACCTCCTGTCACTTCATCTCTCTTCGGTCCAAATATTCTCCTCCAGTTCTCAAACACCCTCAGTCTGTGTTCCTCCCTTAAAGTCAGAGACCAGGTTTCACATCCATACAGAACCACAAGCAAAATTACAGTTATGTATATTCTAATTTTAATATTTTTAGACAGCAGACGGGAAGAAGAAAGATTCTGGAATGAATGGTAGGCAGCATTACCCAAGTTCAATCGCCTCTTAATTTCTTAGTTAATCAGATTTTGATTTGTTATCGTCGTTCTCAAATACCTGAACTGTGCCACATTTTCAAATAATCTGTTACCTACCTTTATGTCCTGATTTTGCCTTGAATTTTGGTGTAGAGACAGCAATATATACTTGTTTTTTCCTGTGTTTACTTCTAGACCCACCTCCTTACTTGCGCTAATTGAAGTTGTGTGTTCTTGTTAACGGTACCTATATTATCGCCCAGTAGATTCACATCATCAGCATAGACTAACAGGTGATGTGTCCCATTTGATTTAATTTAAGTCCCACCTGATTTTCCTGGACCTTCCTAATGGTATATTCTAAAGCAAATTGAGAAGCATTAGCGATGAAGCATAAAAGTTTTAAACCATTCACCTAGTACAATACATTTCCGAAAATTCAACTGTCAGCATCAATGCACTTTACAACTCGTGTGAGGATGTGACTTTTGGCTTGTGTGTACAGTATGCTGTACAGTAAAATAGCTCTATCTCCGAAACTGTTCGGAATAGGTCACGTCTACATATTTAATTATTTTCTTAGATTTACCAATACCATGGCCTCCCAAAATTTGAACTTTCCTTCTGCGATATTCTGTACCACTATTTTGACAAAGGGATGACCATTGTCCACTTGCTGGTGTAGGCCTGTATATAATTTGGAAGACGTTCTGGAACTTGCCAGTATTCAGTGTATGATACTGTAGCCTACAAACATTAGTGGTTGAGTAGCTGAGAGACTATCAGCTGCTCCAGACAGGCATTGCTCCATGGAGCTGGATATTTAGGTGGTTCAGTGATGGTTGCGATATAATCTGGGATATATAGCCCAATGGTTATGTAAACAACGAGTCGTTGTTTACATTTCCTACAGTACGGACAATACTTTGTGAGATGAGGCACTGACTAATATTATAATTTACTTTACTACATCTACATTATGAGCCTCATACACAATTTTATATACGCATAAGTATGAATATTCCAACTTGTCCGTGGGAACGAAACAAAAAACAAATCACAAACCAACGGCTGGCACGTTGATGTAAAAACACCAAAAGAATTTTATTCTTATTTTATATCATACTTCTGTTTTATATAACTTGATTTAATGTATTTTTTACATCATGCGTTTATTACTTACTTACTTACTCATGGAGCTGGGCCCTTCTTGAGGAGTCGCCAATTCTGCAGCTACTCAAGAATTTCCCAGCATTTTATGGAACCCGAAGGTTCATCACCGTGTTCTCAAGAGCCCTCCACTGGTCCCTATCCTGAGCCAAATCAATCCTATCCATCCCACCCCATCCTATCTCTCTAAGATCCATTCTAATATTGTCCACCCACCTACTCCTTGGTCTTCCCTGTGGTCTCTTTCCTTCTGGCTTTCCCACCAATATCCTATACGCATTCCTCGTCTCCCACATTCGTGCTACATGACCTGCCCACCTCATTGCGTTTCTATATATTTTAATAATATTGTATCCAATCCCGTTGGTGCTGCGGTTCAGTAGTGTGTGTGTATTTGTGTTAATCATGTGTTTCCCTGATGATGGCTTTCAATAGCCGAAACATGTAGCAGGGCCGAAAGTGGTCTGATCTTGATATTAGTTGTGTTGTGATCGATATAATAAAGATGTTGTATATTGTAACACAACAGGATGCACGAAATGAAATTTATTTATAGCAGATTGTACTTTTGGTAGTAGATGAGTTCTTTATTTTCAGAGGAGTTCAAATTGGGAAAGAAACGTTTTTCAGATTATGATGTAGGCTATGTATTTGGCAGTTGAAAAGTTCCCGGCTGATATAACAAATTCGAATGTTTGTTATTATAATGAACAACCATTTTTTTCGCTTATTGTCTTAATGATTGTTGAAGATAGAAAATGGGCAGGGGAGCGTGGCGCTTCTGTTCCGAAATTGATTAGGGGTTGTTTTACCAGTATTATCTACGTTCATCTTCGTTCCAAAAACTGGAGTATACATTTATTTATGTTAAGGCAGGACAATTGTTTGATCTTTTCCTTTTGTTCCGTTGCAACTTGTGATCCTGTTGATTTACGTAGATCAATCACGTGGATTGTAACGACTTAGGGTGCAAATGGGTCAAGTTTTTTAAAGAAAAATGTTTTTTGCTCATGGCGAACAATTAATTTCGTACTCTTTGCTGTATCTTGAAGAGCCGAGTGTTTGAAGAGAAGGTGAGATGTTAGAAGAAGGAATGAGGCAAGTCAATAAATAGTAAATGGCAGGAACAGGAGAACAAATTATTGGAGAAGGAAGAAATGAGAAGAGAGACAAATGAGGTGCGAGAGAGACAGGATATATGAAGAGACCAAGGCGTAATCAATTTTACAGTCCTGCCGAAGAAAATGGCTGAATTGCAATCTGTGTGCGTGTGTGTGTGTGAGGGGGGATAGAATGCTCAATGTAGTAGGCCTGGAGGCTCAGGAGAACTTAGTTATTTAAACATCACCGTTTCAGCTACAGAAGTTGTATTATAGGGCCTCTAACATGGAACAGATTTGGACATCTCGAACCCTGAAACTCTAGCTAATTCTTCTTGTAAGTTAAGAAAGCTGAGTCCTTGAGAAGCCACCACTCGCTCAGCTACTCCAAGAATTTTCCATCTTGTGGAACCTAAATATTCATTACCGTATTCACAAGAGCCCTCCACTTGTACCTATAACGAGCCCGATCAATGCAGTCCCTATCAAACCGTCCCATATTTCTATTAATTTTAATGTTATTTTACCACGTATGTCTAGGTCTTCCCAGGTGGACTTCTTCCTTCTGGTTTCTCCAGCAAGATCCTGTATGCATGCCTTTTCCTTCTATGCGTTTTACATTCCCGGCCCATCTCGTCCTCCTTGACGTGATTATTCTCGTTGTATCTGGAGAAGAGTACACGTTATGAAACTCCTCATTATGCAGTTTTCTCCTACCTCCTGTCACTTCATCCCTCTTCGGACTAAATATATTCAAGACCACTCTGTTCTGCAGTACCTTCAGTCTATTTTCTTCCTCTAATGCCAAAGACCAAGTTTCAAAGCCATAAAAAGCTACAAGCAGAATTTGTGTTCCTTAATGTTTGTGCTTATAGGCAGCAGAAGAGAAGACAAAGGGTTCTGAACTGAACGGTAGCAAACATTAGCCCAATTAATTATGCGATTTTGAGGTTTTACTATAGCTCGAAATTATTAGAACTTGCCGCATTTTCAAAGGATCTGCAAAGATGTCTTTTTGTTACGAGTTGCCGTGCATTCTGGTGACGACGCGTCAACGTACACTTAGTTTTATCTGCTTCTTAGGTAATTTAACTTTTCTACTGTGCATCCACACAAATCATGTACCTGTGGAGCGGTTTTATACTGCTCGAACATTGAATGTTATTTCATTCTTAGAATATTTAACGACACTCTTTCATCATTCTCTGACAGAGAAAATGTTAGGAAAATTATACTAAATGGAGAATGCATAAGCATTTGCTAGTTTGTCGTTTCTTGTGGGTTTGAAATTTGATCTGTGATACAAAGAAAGGGGCACTGAGACAGAGTAGTCGGCGTAGCGACTGACTTCGGGCTGGACAACCGAGGAGGTCGGAGTTCGAGTCCCTGAAGGGTCAAGAATTTTCTCTTCTCCACGTCAACCAGACCGGCATTGGGGTCTACTCAAACTCCTGTCCAATGGATAACAAGGGCTCTTTCCTCTGGACTAAAGCGGCCGGGACGTCAAGCTGACCACTCACCTCCAGCTAGTACCGAGGTCAAGAAAATCTGAATCTATACAGCCACTTCCGTATAAGCCTTCATGGTGTAGTGCTTAATTAGTTGAGGGGCAGAGGGACGATTTTACCTTACTGTTACCTTACCTTGAAGAAAGCACATTCTTCTCGGGCGATCCGCCGTGTCAGTGTTGAGTTAAAAATCAAAGCCTTAGAAATCCACTGTGGCACCATCATCAAGGCCGACGTCGGCCTGGATGATGAAGATGGAAGAGATCTCTGAATTTTTCTTTTTTAACTCAATATTGACACTGCTGCTCGCCTGACAAGATTTGATTTAGCACACTTTTGCCGTGAAAGCTTCAAACCTTTTATAGATTGAAAATTTTTGAGAACAGGGTTCAGCGGAGAATATTTTCACTCAGGAAGGGGGAAGGAACAGGGAACCAGAAAGAATTGCAATAATATCGAGTTTCATAATTTGTACTATTCGTTAGATATTATTAGGATGACAAAATTAAGGCTGAAATGGGCGAAGCATATAGCAAGCATGAATGACAAGTACATATAAGTTCCCAGTAGGAAACTCTGAAGGAAATATACTGCTACTACCTGGAAAGCCTAGACGAAGAAGGGAGATAATATTGATGAAATGTTGCCAGTGAGGACTCGATCAATTTGGTTCAGAAAAGGGTTCAGTGACGATTTCATGAACACTAATTAATCTTCGGGTTAAAAATTATACTGGGAATTTCTTAATTAGGTGAGCTTCTGAAATATAGTTCTGCTGTATCAAATTATTTAAATAGTTAGTTCTCCAGAAGTACTCAGCTCCATGAGTAAGTAAGTAAGTTCAAGTGAGTTAATGATTTGGAAGGTGTCCGAGTGGAAAGGTCTGTTCACCATTCCTTAAGGAAGGTTGTATACTATTTTGTTAAGACAGTGCAAATATATTCAGTGTTATCCTTACCTCTGAGTGGTATAATTTCGACAGTATTCTGTTTGACGAAGTTATTTACTTCTTGCAGTTGTACGAGATAAATGATGATCCCAGAAGAAAGGAATTCCTGGACGACCTGTTCAGTTTCATGCAGAAGCGGGGTAAGTCCAATCACTGTTTCTATTATATCTAATGGTAAGTACGTCTATTTGAACCTGACTGCCGCTGACGGGCGTTTAAGAAGATTGTCGAAATAATTCGACGTTTTGTATAAGCGGTGTAAACTTTTCCGTTTCTTCACTTAAGAATGGTTTGCAGATATGACGCTGTCATATCATCTAGCACATTTTCAAATGTATTTCGGAATGATACTATCAAAGGCGAATCATAACCGAAAATTCATGAACACAAGCATAATAAATTTAATTGTTGTAATAAGCTTACTAAATGTGAATCATAATTTTTACAGCAATTATTGCTGTTTTATTTCGGATGTTTATAAGTGGAAGATGGAAAGTAACTGCTCTAACCAACAAAATTAATTGATATGTAAGCAGCATTCCGTAAAATATTCCAGCTGAATTCGTGTAAATTTGAGCAGCTGATTTCGAAATATGTAGTGGGCTTACTACTGAAATTCTTTCATTGTTGGGAATGCTATTATATTCGATTACATGCCTTACATTACATACTTTTACATGCCTTACACAAAACAATGGGTGTAGACAATAAAACTGGGGGATAAAACATTCTGTCAGTTTTCTTATCAGCGTAGTCAGTTTAGTTAAAAACCAATTCTTTCGTTCACATCATGGAATAAATTTGAATATTGGTTTATAACAATTAAGCCCACGAGAGAGTGAATTGAGTAGAGTCCTGGAGGAAAGTATAATTGCTCAGCTGGTGGATAATTTTTTTTTTCATTAAAGAAATAAGGAATTCATAAGTGTTAATGTATGATCCAGCCACAAGAAAAACAGATATATCGTGCATAATTTGAATGCCACTATCGCACTTCTTGTTTACGGTTCATTTGTATACCATTCTCCCACACGTCTTACTCTTTAAGATTCCAAGTAGTCTCTTTCTTTAGCGCTTTATAACAAAATGAATGCATTTCTCATGACTGCTGCATGTCACGTCCATTACATCCTCTTGATTAATAACTTTAATACTGATAATACTTAGAATTCTGTAGTGGCTTCATTAATATGACTAGAAAGTAATAAACCGTTTGCTTTATGCCTATTGTGCAAGATTAATGAAATAAACAGAATGGAACTACACATTGAAATGTCTGTCGGAATTCATTTTTTGTCGTATCTAGGTTATTACTGATACGCTTACAGACAGCAGTAGCACTTACTTCTCTGATAATTTAAACATTCTGCATTATTTGTCATTGCTTCTAAATCATTATATTAAATGTTAGAAAGCAACTTTTATATTTTGACATGTGAAGGCAATGCCAAGCAACTGCTCGATAAACGCCCTGCAAAACAACGAGGTTAAGCAAACCGCTTCTACGCAACGGCTCGGTAAACACACTTCCACGCAGGTGCAATGACGTCATATTTCAACGCTACTAGCTATCACGTGGCTTGTTTTCTGTATTGTCCGTAGGGCGCCTATATAACGAAGGCCTATTTAAGCTTAAGTTAGTGCAGAGTCCAGGAAGGTTCAGCAGGGGAGTACAAGGACGAGACTGGAGCGTGAATTGTGAACATTGAGTACAGATTTGGATAGAGCAGTACAGAGTTGTTGAAAATTAAACGACTTCATAGTGATGTGATTTGAAGTGATAATTTTTGCGTTGAGATCCGTTGCTACGAGACGACTAGTGGGAACAGAGAAGCATAGTGCGTGTGCAACGGTGTACTAAAAATTGTGTAAATCAACGATAGTGCTGTATTAATTGTAATTAATAGAGAGAGAATGTGTGTAAGTGAAGTGCTAATAAGTCCAGTAATCTGATCTAGAACCCACAGTTACTCGCCATGTTTACCACCCTACACGTGGCAATATGTAACGCGAATGTGTCTGTTCTACTAGCTCTGTCTTTTCGAAAACATATCTTGAATTTGCATTTGTGTTCAATTTCGTCTGCTTAGAGAAAATAAGTTATTTGTATATTTTATCGATTATCTTATTATAAGCATGCTCTAACTCTTGCAGATGGATTGGCGTATTTGTGGGCTCGGAACGATGATGCTATGAATACAACATTACCATGCAAGTTTCTCTATACTTTCCGTAGTTCATAATGTTGCTGCCACCGAAAAAATATCTCATGTCGTCATAATGCCGTTGTTTTCCAGTTTCGTAAATTTACACTAATAAACTTAGCAATTTCACGTTCAGACCCGATACTAAATGACTATAATGAAGATATGTCTGAATGAAAGACATGTCAGCTAACTGACCATATGCGGACATCTCCTGTTGTGTATATTTCTTTGTTTCTCATTGGTTGAGTTCGCTCTTTCATTCTTGAATTGAACTGAGTTGCCGATAGTGGCTCAGCTAGTCAAGATATTCCTAGCTTTTTATGGACCAGTATGTTCATATTCGTATTCACATCAGCCCACCGGTGGACCCTATTCTACGCCAGATGAATCCAGTTCACACACACCCTACTTTCATTATTACTTTAACATTATCCTACTATCTGCATTTTTCTTCCCTTCAGGTTTTCTGACAAAATATGTGTATGCAGTATTCTGTCCCTCATGATAGGTACACAACCCACTGGTTTGGATAACATAATAGTATTTGTGAATTACGATAGCTAACTGACTTCTGGATTGTGTTGCCGTATAGTTTGGTAAATATGTACCAACTTCTCTGAAGAATCTGCTGCTGGAGGTAGCAGGTCCCTCCGAAACGTTGGTGCCTATCTACCAAATTACACCCTTTCGTATTAGAGAAGACAGTAATCTAATAATGACGTTTCTCGTTTTGTAAGGCTCTTCATCTTCCCATTAGCTTCATTTCCTCTGTTCTAAACATCGTTCTTGGCAATTTCTTCTTCACCCAGGATCAGTGTCGCAACCTCGCATAACCTCACCAAACTATCCCCATGATAAACTGGACTCGCGTGTATTGCATACCCGTACCCACAAGTAGTTGTATCATGTGACATGACTGATAAGAATAGTTATATAAAATGGCATTGTACAGTCTCCCCTTCCGGGATATGTATATCTGAACGAATAGCCCTAAGGGCTTCTGATAGACGCTTTCCATTAAGGACGTAAACATGTTTTTCCCCGATAAGATTCGTGATGTGTCATAAAAAGTAATTATCAGAGACAGTAAGTTATACGAGGAAAAAGGCCGCGTCATAGCTCAAGCGGCTAGTCATTGGCTTCCCACCGCGGTGGCCCGGATTCGATCCCGGGTCTGGTCAAGTCGGATTTGTGGTGGACAAAGTGGCGTTGGGGCAGGTTTTCTCCGAGTACTTCGGTTTCCCCTGCCAATCTTCATTCCACCAATTGCTCCACAATCACCCTCACCTATCACATAGGGCTGGTAAAACAGGCCAGAAGTGGCCGCAGTACGAGGGACTTAGTCCCACCCTACTAGGAATAAAAACATTCTTTTACATGACCCCAATTTTATACGTGGTGATTTGTTTTCCTTTTGTTATTCATACATTTGAGATCTCTCTGCATTTTAAAATGCAATTGGACATCTTGCATATATTGAAGAAAATTCCGTACTTTTGTCACGTTCAGAACGTCGAACTATGTCAAATTATAGCGGGGCCAGTGTGGAAATGCGACTCCAAAAAATCTAAAAGGAACGGCACTTATTCGTTCTCCCTGTTCGTAAAATCTGGATGAGTCGTTTTGAAAGAAGTTACTGTGCTAAAAACATTAAAGCCCCTGTGCATGACAAGCAAAGGAAATATGGAGTAGGCGTTATGAATTTCGGGGCTAACTGAAGGTTTATGGTAAGTTTTGATATCTTTATTTCTTGACTTGACCAGTGGCGAGACCTAGGCATAAAAGGCTAGTCTTTAAATAGATAGCGTATGAGAAAACAGAGTGGATTAATCTGGCTCCAGACAAGGCTCAGTGGCAGGTCGTTGTGATTACGACGATGTATCATATTATTCCCTAAGAGGAGAAAATTCCTTGATGCGTTGGGATAGCATTAGCTTGTTACAGAAAACTGTAGTCAACGTGGTTATTTGGTTATGCGTTTCTCATGCAGAACTTCTATCTGTGATACTTCAACCGTTCCTTCCTTCACGTGTCGGTTATCCAAGCGACTTATCAGTAACATTCTAGTTTGCATTTATCAATCCGCCATTGATTGATGTGGTTAACTTCTGCATAGTGTATATGCACGTATTAGGTGTTTAGTGCACTCAAATAGCCGGTTAGAGTCCAGCGTTGTTTTCAGTCTATACAATGTTACAAAGTTAAAGATTAAAGTTAAAGTTACAAANGTCTGCTGCCTCGCATCTGGAATCTCCGGGTCGCTGGGTTCCTTCTTATTTATTTTATTCTTATTACGTAGACTTGGAATCGGTATAGCGACCGATGGGTCGGAGTTTGAGTCCTAGTAGGGTCAAGAATTTTCTCTTCTCCACGTCTTCTAGGCCGGCTCTGGGGCCCACCCAGCCTCCTATCCGATGGGTACCGGGACCTTCTTCACGGGATTAAAGCGGAAGGTGCGTGAAGCTGACCACTCATTTCCAAGTAGTGCCGAGGTCAAGGAAATGTGGCTCTATAATTCCACTCTCCCCCATACACCGTCATTGCGTGCTTAATTAGTTTAGCACAGTGACAACTTTACCTGTTTATTCTTATTACATTTAATCCCTGTGTGTTTTTAGAAATGTTTGTCTTTTCTCGAATCATTCATAATATTTCTATCTTAGTTTATAATTTTACTTTCATTCTTTGTTGACGGAATTTATGTTATGTATATGTCTATACTGCCGATCACGGTAGCCATGCGGTCTAAGGCATGTACTGTGTTCGCTCGCTTGGAAACCGGGATCATGGGTTCGAATCCCACATAAGGGCATGAATGTTTAGTTTGTGTGTGTGCGTTTTTCTGTGTTTGTGTACAGGTAGTGGCCTCGCGAAGAGCTGATCACCCTCCCAAGGAGTCCTACCGAACGTGTAAGATCTAGAAAAACCGAAGT